GGGGGTGGGGGTGTGTGGGTGGAGCCTGGGAGGTTGTGGTTGGAAGATGGATGGTGGAGGCGGATGTGGTGGTTGTGGTGGTGGTTGTGGTGGTGGGGGCGCGAACGACTCTACGGGGTGTCTGACGGGGGACGAAAACAAAGGAAAGGGCGGCGCTGCCCCACGCTCGCCACTGCCCCGAGCCGTGCGTCGCCCCAACGTTGAACAACCCATGCTTGGAGACCCCACCTGAAGCGCGAACCCCCGAACAGGTTCTTCTTGGGCTCTTCCACGTATCGGTCGCTCAGCAGGCCGCCCCCCACGCTGCCATAGGCGAGCAGCTTTATGCCGTTCTGCTGGCAGTACTGTGGTTTGGGTGGGGGGGGGGGGCGGGTGAGGTTCACCAGGGGCAAGAATTGCAGAGTTTGGATAGGACTTGCATGAGGAGTGGTGATGGTCGTGGTTTTGTGTTTTATCCTGTGTGTGTGTGTTTGTGTGTGTGTTTGTGTATATGTGTGTGTGTGTGCGTGTGCGTGTGCGTGTGCGTGTGCGTGTGCGTGTGTGTGTGTGTGTGTTTGTGTGTGTGCGCATGTGAAGAGGGAAGGTGACAGCTGGTGTTAGGGCTGTTCTTAGGACGAGGATACTTGATGCGAGCATAAGTTGACACACTTGCGGCGCCAATCAAACACCAATCACCAGAGGAAGGGTGCAAGCGCGTGGCGCAGCGGGTTTTAGGAGTTGGGGCGGCAGGCTCGCGGAGGCACACAATTGAGCCACAGGGCAGCACGGGCGGCGGGGCGGCTGCAGTTGTCTACCTGGCAAGGCACCCCCCCGCACGGCCCTCACCTGCACCATGCCGTTGAGGGGCCGCCTGTCAAGCAGGCTGAACTGGACCTGGAGGGGGGGGAATGAAGTTGAGAGTTACAACAGGGCAGGAACAGCAACAGATGCAGCAGGGGAAGGGGAGGGCTCAGCCAGGTGGGGGCCCGGGGGACATCCGCACCGCGTGCGCGCCAAAACACGCCGCCAGCGCCGCTGACGGCGGGCTGCCGGCGACGTGGGCCGCCCGTCGCGGCGCCATCAGGGCCGGGCGAAGCCGTGCAGGGGCCGTTTCGCGGTGTGATGCTCGACATGCCCTCCCGAGTATGGCCTCGAAACTATGTGTGGAAGATAAATCTTGTCCTTTCGAGCTCAGAGATACTACGCACCTGGTTGCTGACGACTGGCACGCCCGCGTCCACCAGCTTGGTCAGCGCAGCCACGTCTATGTTGGTCACACCGACCTGGTATGTGTTTGTTC